CGTATCTAACTATTGTACTTGTATACTGTATACATTTATATTGTGTGGTTACCACAAAAAACGTAGTAAAACAACACGGGTTGGGGTTAGTTAAAAAGGCGTTGTTGTTGTCGACCAAAGTTTTACGGCAGAATTTGCCTAAGCGAACCCAGGAAGGTTTCGACTGCCTTATTCTCATCAGCAGAGCGCGGCGCGATTAAAACATGAAAATCGTGTCGCCAGGTGTAACAAAGATTCACCGTATAACCTCAAAATACTTTTGAGGCAAGTGCTGTTAGAGAGCACCTATGAAGGCCAGAACGGTACACGAGCGGGTGGGTGGCCAGCACCACGCCCGACCGCCTTTGTCTCCCCAGTGACGATGTTTTTTTACACATCGCTCCAGGTACTAATTTGAGCCTGAGTCGACCTAGGCGAGGCCCAGGAACGGTTTAGATAATCGTCGCTGGTGTTGGCCGTGAGCGGGAATCGAACTCGGGTCGCCGGGTTTCGTAGCGTAGCGCGCTAACCGCAATACCACCGCTCTAAATTTATACAGACAGACACAGGATCCTACATCTACACCGTGTAGCCTGCTCAGTGCAGTACAGCAACTCTGTACGACGTTTCCTGTCCGGAGATCGTCGACTGTGGTGAAGTATACTATTAAACTTAAAAAAACTCTAACATTATTTTTTTTTATTTTGCCGGGTCAGGCGAACTGAGCTATATAGCTCTTTTTCAGAAGCGACCTGATCACAAATGATCGCCGAACGAGGTGACTTGTCATCACGTAGACATGGATAGGAGTCGAAAGCTACAGACGAACGTTTATTCTACATATGGATGGGGAAAAACTGGAGGACCCGGAAACAAAATCACAGCGACTACGGGGAGAGAGAGAGACGCGCAAAGTCCAAATATACAGAATCAGAATATTTATTTAAAACTGAAAAAAAATCCGATGATGTCCAGTCGCGGCGAGTAAGAACGTTACAACATCAAACAATGCAAAACATAACACGATCGGAGTGCAAAGTACTAAAAAGGTAAACAGATCACCCAAACACATACGCCGTCAGGGTCGGGATCAAACCCACGACCTCCTGTATACCAGGCGAAGGAGTTAACATCTCGCCATCGAGGTGCCTGGAGTTTCCTGGCTGGCTGCTGGCTGGGCTCCTCTCTACCCCCAACGATAACTCTGTTGTTAGCGGCTGCGGGGCTGTCGCCACCGCCACTAGCTTAGGTAACTGCCTAAATGGGATCGTCTGTGTGTAATGAATAAACACTGAGTTGCATTGAAACTGCAGAATAATTTCGGAAGAAGTAATAATGCTAACAGATAGCCACACCAAAGAGATGGGAGTAACGAATAAGAAGACAAACATGATTCCGTTTAAAATTGCCCCGACTCTTTCAATGTGTGTCCTTATTAATGTAATTCTTTCGTCATAATAGTATTTAAATCCTTCCGAATATATGTAAGAAAAAAAAATAGTACAGGTTGTGAAAATAGTATGAACGTAACAGCTCTCTCTTATTTTCCGCAATGGGTTCTCTACAAGTAACACTGTGCACAGATGGTAGCCTTACTTTATACACGCATTCTTTGGTGGTGAAGCTACACGTGTCTACATTCAAACTGGTAGAAGAAAATAGATGCCCCCCATCCGTGCACATGGATGGGGGGCATGCTTGGAACGACACCGAGAGGCAGAGGAACTCGGAGATGAGAACAAACGCAAGTTACGAGACATCGAGAGTGACTGTGAGCGAAAGTTAGTGGGCTTGAAGATAGATGGATTTTAAGGTAGATGGATTGTAAGACATGTGGGTTTTAAGAGAGCTTTGTTGTAAAATAGGTGGTTTGTAATATATATAATTGGCTTGTAATATAGATGGGTTAATAGATATATGGATTGGAAAATAAATGGATTTCAGGACTGGTTTAATGTAAGCGGGATGGGTAGATTGTAAGATAGATGGATTGTATTTATTATTGCATAACATGACCGTGATGGAAGGTGACGGCAAGGGGAGGACTTCATCCAGCAGTGGAGAGATCGTGCCCTATTGTGGCGATGAGCATGTGTAACCCACTACGTGTGAACTCACTTAACAGGTCTAACACATTACTTACACCTCGGTTCTACAACACAGTTGTCAAATAGAGCGCTAGCAACAGTGCGATGCAATCGGGAGGAGCGGTGGCGCAGTGGTTAGCGCATTCCGCTATGAACCCGGCCCACCTGGGTTCATATGTACTGTATGTTGAACTTCTTTTGCACCTTACGTAACCCATCGCGCTAATCGGAGGTGAAAAGTGGTGGGGGGGGGGGGTAACATTCTAAACGCAAAATGCCGTTCCAAACGAATGCGTTTTCAATCTCGATTTAAAAGTGCGTAACTCCCAGTGGCTTCCAAACATCGGCCACGGCTGCCGTCAGTGGTGAGCCGACTACCCGAGCTGCCGGTCTCTCGCGTGCCCTCTCCACCACAGCACGCGATGGCCCACGGTGGTGAAGATTGGTCCAAAATTCGACGCTCCCCCGACCCGCACGACACGACGTGGTGCCCGTTGGGGCACTTCACTCCGACACGCATTTGACAAAGGGAACGTTGTTTTGTTATTTAGTTCATCGCCGTCACGCAGTCATCCCAACGGTACCTCCACCGCGGTGTAACGGCGAGCAGGGCTGGTCTCACAGAAGCACGACCGGGTTACCCGCCAGGTGATGACTCAGTTTATTTTCAGTTCATTTATTTATTTTGGTATAGCCCTGTGAGCCATTCGGCTTTTGAATCGGGTGCAACCACAACAAACAAAAAAACAGAAACACGAACAAGAAAAACATCTTAAAGTGACTATGTGTGACTGTGCAAACAGAAAATCCATGAAAAAACATTAAAATATTCCTGAAAAAGCACCGTACACCAACGCTGTGTGCAAAAAATCCCAGTGGGATGCAGGTCAAACAACAACAACAACAACCACAAGAAAACTTAGGTTAAGGCCATCAGTCTAACTCCGTACTACAACAAAACAAACATGTCCAAACCAAAAAAACGTTTTCGAAATCACCAAAAAATGAAGCCATAATTGCAATGTAACAGTGATCATAGGGACTGTGACCGAATTTTCAACAATAAACTACATAAATAAGATGTAACACCAAACCCTAGAGCCATAGCTGGCTGCATGAGCTTCTCCACAACAACAGAAGCATAAGTCGGAGTATCAAATTTTTCAATGCACCTTTAAGATCAGCGTGCTAAATCAAAATACAGATAATACTTTGCAGCGTCATCCGGAGCGAAACAATTTATTTTATTTTATGCCAATGAATAGCAGTGGCAGCTAGGGGTGTACAACTCCTCTAGAGCAGTTTTGAGAGAAGATCTCATTGGTAGCGATTCAAGTTGCAGTTTATTGGCAATAACATTCCAGACCCTGGGGGCATCAATAGCAAAGGCCCTTCCTCCAGTTTTTGTACGGCAATAGGGAATGTGAAGCTGGTAAATGAGCGAAGACCTGAGGTCAAATTTGTTATTTGAAACAGAGAGAAGATCCAGCAGGTAGTCTGCGGATTTTTTTGTAAGTACATCGTGAATAAATAAGATCTGGTGCACAGGCCGTCGAACATTAAGAGATGTTAAGTTTGACCCAATGTAGAGATCACAGTGGTGAGTCCTATATGGGCAGTTCAATGTAAATCTTAAGGCCGAGTGATAGATGGAATCAAGCTTCGTCAGTAAGTACTTGGGGCTGATTCATACACGATGTCACAATAATCACGTAGAGGCAGCATGGTAGCTTTTATCAATTCCAAAGGGAACATTGGGGGGAAGCAGTGCTTGTGTCGATACAGAAAACCAATTTTTATTTTTTTTATCTTTTTACCAATATAATCAATGTGATCTTCAAAATTCAGTTTTGAATCCAGGATGACCCCAAGATACTTATTGACTTGCTCTATTTGATAATTTTTTAAGGAATGGAATTGGGGAAAAATAACTTCCTGGTTTAGTCCTGGTGAGAAGCATAGCACCTTGGTTTTGGAGCTATTCAGGACTAGTTTACTAGTTTAAGAGCAACTAGCTGATGTTGTAGTTTGTTGAAATCACAGGCCCTGCGCGGTGGGGGTAGAAATGTGGGTACTCCCTTCCACCTCCGCTCCCAAGACGTTTGGCCCAGCGTGGAAGAGTAGGCCAAGTATCCTCTGAAGGAGCCCTCCAGGAAGCCGCTCTGGACGAGCTTTAGAGGTGGCGGAGGCCATTCCACCAGCAGAGGCGTGAGACCGGAATTGCAGGGCTGCACTTTTACTGTTTGTTTGCATGTAGAACTTCTTTCCCACCGTACGTAGCCAATCGTGCGAAACGGAGTGTGCGGGGGAAGACAACAAACTAAGCTGAAAAGGCAGTTAAAAAAACAAGTCAGTTTTAAATCTCGATGATATAGAAGTGCGTAGCGCCAGCGGCTTTTTTAATATCGGAAGGGAGAGCGTTCCAGACGGCCGCAGAAGCGCATCTGAAAGCGCGCGATGCAGTGACCGTCTTTGTTCGATGGCGAGCAGCCAAAAGCCGCTGCTGCTGCGAGGATGCTTGGAGTTCGCGTCATCGTTTATGCCCCTTGAAGGCATCAGCAAGATGCTTACCTGTATTGTGCGACAATGCTATGCGGTGTTTTTTTTTTACTTTGCTCGCTCTGCATCAGAAAAGGTTTCTATTTGGATTAGATCGCGTAGATTTAAATGCGTCGTTAAACCCGCCACCACCAGACCCTGCCAATTTGTATGGTTCGTCACGTAAACAAAACGTCGTTACGATAGTCAAATTGTAAATGTTTGAGGATTTGTTCTCCAACACAGCGGTGTGCTGAACGAGCACACGCGATCTAAACCCCCCCCCCCCCCCTCCCGGTCACGTAGAAATGTCCAAAGACATTTTTTGTTCTTTTTTTTTCTTTGAACCTATCTACGTGACTTTACCGAAAGACCCAAGAATATGAAACGTATATTATGGACGACATTGCTCGCGAAAGCCGAGGACGTGTCACACACTTTGTCTCGCCTCTCTTTGCGCTCACGCAGCAGCGGGGTCGGCTTCAGGCGCGCGCTCCGCCGGTGCCGCTGGGCTGCCCTCCACCGCCCCCCCCCCCCAAGCTCGCACGAACGCAGAAGGGCGGAGGAGCGAAACAACCGCAAGACGTGGACCTGGAGCCAGACGGAGCGCGACTGGGAGTCGGAGGAAGACGACGACGAGGAAGAGGAGGAGCAGGAGGAGGGCCGGTCGCCGCGATGAGGGAACCTCTCACCGACGAGGCTGAGCCCAAGAGGACCAAGAGGCGAGTTCTCTTCACCAAAGCGCAAACGTTCGAGCTGCAGAGTCGCTTCAGGCGGCAGCGTTACCTCTCAGCGGGCGAGAGGGAGCAACTGGCCTCCGTGCTGCGGCTCACGCCGACCCAGGTGAAGATCTGGTTCCAGAATCACCGCTACAAGCTCAAGAGGGCCACGTGCATGTACGGCGACAGGGAGCGCGCCGTCGAGCCGCCCTTGAAGATGACAGCTCAGCACCAGCAGCATCATCATCAGCAGCAGCATCATCATCAGCAGCAGCATCAGCAGCAGCAGCAACAGCTGCGTTGTAACCTCGCTTCCCCGCGTCGCATCAGCGTTCCCGTGTTAATTCGGGACGGTAAACCTTGCGGACAAGCTGTTCATCATCAGCAGCAACAGCAGGAAGATCAGAATCACCATCACCAGCAAGATCATCATCATCATCAGCAGCAGCAGGGTGACCATAGCGCCTATGAGCTCCAGGGAGCACCGCCCGAACTGCAGGAGCCGCCCACGATTCACGGCTGCTACGGCGGCGCCTCGGCGCGTTACCCAGCCGCGATGAGCCACGGCCACGGGTGGACGTGGTGAAGAAGAGCCTCCTCCTCCTCCTCTCGGCCTGAAAGAAGGGTTGTGCCAAAATACCCTCCAGACGTGGTGGTGGTGGTGGTGGGTGGAGGGAGGGAGGTTCCTTTCCACCGGCGGTGGCGTAAGCGTCTAATTGTAGGGCTGGCAAGATTAAGGGTCATTGGCCGAAACGTCGCCGATTATACATCGGTTTTATTTTACGTACAGTTTTATTCACGAGTGCGTTGAGTACATTTTTGTTGTTGCGTGTTAATCGCAGGGCTGTGGCCTTTTGTCTGTTAAAAAAACCTTAACATGTACAATTCCCAGTGCGTAATTTCAGCTGAGTTGCGGAATGCTGCTGCCAGCGTACTTTGTGGGCCACGCCAACATCCGTCTCGCTCCATTGCGTGCGTCAATTTCACGAAAGTTGATCAAATGTACCTGTTCCATAGGATGTATAGCACTGCGGGATACAATATGCATGCGATTATTACGGAAACCCCGTGACTCGCAATGTTTCTAGTGACAGCGGACCACAATGCCGATGATTAACGCAACAGTACTTTGACGCCAGCCTATAGCGCACAATCTTCCGGAAAACATCGAGGGTTAAATCAAGCGCCGCTCACTTCTCTTCCTGTTTACGAATTAGCAACGCCATTACCATTGCTGTTGGAAACCTCCGATTAGTACGGTTCCCCACGCACGGTGGGAAAGAAGTTCAACGTACGTACCGTACAATCTCGATTTGAAGCTTTCGTGACTGCAGGAATCCATATTCATTGGTTCTTTCGGTAAAGTCACGTGGGTAGAAAATAAATCACGACGTTTCGGGCTCAACACAAGCGTCCGTCATCAGGTGTCATCAGGTGGTATCCTGATGACGGACGCTTGTGTTGCGCCCAAAACGTCGCGATTTATTTAATTTGATACCTACGTGACCTTACCGAAAGAACCAAAGAGTGAGTACCGTGCAAGGTTTACTCTATTTGACAGGAACACTGCCTGCGCATTTGCACGGGATACACGGCCGCGATGAAGGGTGCGTGGGAGAGGGGGGGGGGGCGTGACCTCAACACGCATATTACGTCGTGACGTTACCACCCCGAACGTGTGCGCTAGCCAGGCAGCCTACCAGCCGGCAAAACTTTTTTTTGTTAAATAACATACATTAGTTGTACGACGAGAGTTCAAAACGTGTACTTGTATTGTTTTGCAGGCATCATTATTCTGTTATGTTGGGGGGGGGGGGGGTTGTCGATCATTTACAGATGTTTACTCAATACAGCATCGGGGTTTGCCGGTTGTGCTGTGCAGTGTAACTCTCCGATGATGTGAGCTGTTGATTTTACTGAAGATTCCAAGCACGTGACGCGAAACGTCGGACATCATGCTAAACAACACGCGCTATACAAATCGACACGTCTACTCGGTATTGCGGCGGTGCGGCATCTCCGCAGCGCGACCTTGAGCACAGCAGTGACCACTCCACGTTCCCACGGCGAGGGTCGTGTTTTTTATTCCATTATCTTTGCCTGCCCTGACCAACTCTGGGAGAGAGATAACGACGTAGAGGCGTTAGGAGGAGCCGCAGACAAGCGAGGAGGCAGCCACGTGATGAACCGGTGCCAACAATCGCCCAAGCTCTGCGGCCCTCTATATATCAAGGTGTTGTCAGCCAAATAATGAGTCCATAAGAGGTTTTTTTGGGGGGTTAGATCGCGTATATATAAATGTGTCGTTAAACCCGCCACCAACCTACACAGCCAATTAGTAAGGTTTATCACGCAAACATAACATGCCAATTCGTTACTAGTACAGCACACCGGTGTGTTGGAGAATAAACCCTCAACATTCATCATCCGAGTACGACGTTTCGCCGGTAATTACAACCAGCATCATCAGGCGATAGCCAGATTTGTGGAGAAATCAGGTGCGAAGATCAGAGAGGATGGGGGGTGGGAGGTTTAAATAATGTATCTTTACATTTGGGAGGAATCCGAAGCACCCGGAGGAAACCCGCGCGTGCGACGGGGCAACGCTCTATCCCATACTCACTCTCCTGGCGAGCTAGGGTACGGGCACCTCATCGACGCTTGCGGGACCGGAGTTTCGCAACATTTGTTTGCGGTGATCCACCAAACCCTGGCTGCCTTCCACAGTGCTGGACCACAGGTGACATGCGAAGCTACCGCCAGCGCCGAGCTAAACCACACAATGCACCAACACAACCGAGCGTGTACTACGGGGTATTGATATCAAGTACTCGTATACCTGTACGTGTGTATGCTATACATGATTATTTTTTTTTAAAAATAAAATCCTGATGTTTTGCAATACGATAGAAAGTTGCCACACGGATAATGAGTGCCTATACACATGTAGTTATTACGATCGGAAGACATAAAACAAACTATATATTTTTTTTGACCTCCACAAATTGCGACCCAAACATCACCCTCGAAATCCTGAATTGGTTTAAGGTCCTGCGACGATTCACAACCAAAAAGGACGCGGAATAATGTGACACTGAAACCATTGGCGAGCAAAGGACACCTCTCGCGAGCCAACAGGTATACATCATATGCAGGTTTGCCTCGCTTTATGCGGGTTTCGGTTTGTGCGATTTGACGCTGTATATGCGGCGAACCCGTTTTCTACTCAAAATGCTCTATATTATGCGGTTCGAATTCACTCCTACGCGGCTATGAGGTCGCACCGGACGTAGCCAGCCGTGCTAATCGGAGGGGCGGGGGAAGAACAACAAACTAAACACAAAAAGCAATTCTAAATAAATGAGTTTTTAATCCAGATGATTTTAAATGTGCATAGCTCCAGCGGCTTCCTAATATCGGATGGAAGAGCGTTCCAGACCGCCGCAAAAGCTCATCTGAAAGCGCGCGATGCAGTGTGACCGTCTTTGTTCGATGGTTAGCCAAAAGCTGTGTGTGTGCCACGTGTGTGTACTGTGTGTGCCACGTGTGTGTACTGTGTGTGTACTGTGTGTGTGTGTACTGTGTGTGTACTGTGTGTGTGTGTACTGTGTGTACTGTGTGTGTGTGTACTGTGTGTGTACTGTGTGTGTGTGTACTGTGTGTGTACTGTGCTGTGTGTGTACAGTGTGTGCCACGTGTGTGTACTGTGTGTGCCACGTGTGTGTACTGTGTGTGTACTGTGCTGTGTGTGCCACGTTTGTGTACTATGTGTGTATTACGTGTGTGTACTGTGTGCCACGTGTGTGTACTGTGTGTGTGTGCCACGTGTGTGTACTGTGTGTGTGTGTACTGTGTGTACTGTGTGTGCCACGTGTGTGTACTGTGTGTGTACTGTGTGTGCCACGTGTGTGTACTGTGTGTGTACTGTGCTGTGTGTGTACTGTGTGTGCCACGTGTGTGTACTGTGTGTGCCACGTGTGTGTACTGTGTGTGGTGTGTGTGTGTACTGTGTGTGCCACGTGTGTGTACTGTGTGTGTGTGTGTACTGTGTGTGCCACGTGTGTGTACTGTGTGTGCCACGTGTGTGTACTGTGTCTGTTCACTGCGTGTGCTGTGTGTGTGCTGTGTGTGTACTGTGTGTGTACTGTATGCTGTGTGTGTACTATGTGTGTGCGCTGTAAGTGCTACTCGGCAGGCAGCTGTCTCCTCGTTTGGTTCCGACTGCGCTCCACGGTACGCGGATTTCGCTTAGTGCGCCCTTTTGTTTGGAATGCATCTACTACCGCATAACGCGAGGCAAACCTGTACTGCACATATTTAATCGTAGCGCATTATAAACACAATTTACAACGGGGATTCATAAGGATTGTCCATTTGCTCTTGATGATAGACGTTGGTATAATTAAAACTCTATACGTATCAAATTACGTGATACAGTACTATCTCCATACGTATAAATCGCAATTGCAATGTGTGTAATCTTTATTGTAAATACTAAATATCTTTAAACCTAGGCACTAATAACTGTATTGTTGCGTGGTATGTATTTAAATTGCGTTTAACACATAATGGACCAGTCGCCTTAAAAATATATATACACAATATCAATGTGTCTGTATAAGATAGCTTTAAAAAAGTAATATGAATGCGTGTGAACAAAGTATACGTTTTGAGTTTACTTTAGCTACCATTGGAAATGCAAAGTCTGGTTTGTTAACTAACACAATGCGTTGTGCCAGAAACATTTTATAATTTTACCCTGACGATAACATGTGTTTATTTAGTCGGAATTACTTGTGATTATTGATGTTGCTTGGTACTCAGTAGCTACTATTAAATGATTATTCAGATGCCAGTTTAAAAAAAAAGTTAACTGCTCATCAGAAATATATATAAATATAGAATTAAATCTAATTTTCACCAGGCTCCATGGTGTTCAGTGCAGTCTATTACCCTGGTAAACTCTACCTCTCTGGCTTCTATGTGATATAAAGAAGGGTCATTGCCCGAAACGTTGCCGATTTTATATTTATTTGAAGGGAGCATTTATGACGATTGTTGAGTTATTGCTGTTTGCGCACCACTGCCAACGTAGCAGCAGAATCAGCATCAGCATCAAATGGTTTGTTTATTTAAAAAATGTGCACGTTACTCACGTGTGTTCATTAAATGCTCCTAAATAATTTCCAAGGAGCAATGTCAACTGCCCTTTCGCACTGTTATATAATGTCGTGTCGAACGAGGGCCCGTATCTAACAGAGAAGCTCCCTCCCTAGACAGGGTGTCCCAAACGTCAGGACACAGATTGTTCAGTAATTTATTTTAACGCTGGCATTAAAACATGTTTTATTGCTTACCATTTAAGTTAACGTTTTGTCTATTTTCATGATTAAAATTATTTTTTTCGTCTTCAGATGACGTTTACAGAAGTCGGCAAAGAACTGTGAATGAATCGAGACGAAACATAATTGATGATTGTTCAAAGATTACAGGCGTGATCTTTTTAAACGCCCCACATTAATAATAATAATTTTAAAAAAACCCAAGTGTCCTTGACTTTTGGGCCACACTGTAAACATCTGGCCG